CATCAGTTCTGATTTGCCCCAGCTGTGTTTCCCTCCTGTTGTCCATTCCCTGATTGCTCCCTCTATGTATTTAAGCCCTGTGTTTCAGTTTGTCATTGTCGCGATCTACTGTTTACCTAGCTGTGTGTTCTGTCAGTCTGTCCGTGTAAGTTTATTTTTTGGATACTCAGTTTTGTTACTTTTTTGAGTTTAACATTAAAGCTGTTTTGAGTTACTTTCTGTCTCCGGAGTCTGCACTTTGGGTCCTTCTCCTGCCTGCACACAGCCGTCACATAACACTATGTCGTGCACTATCCTACTGTATATTACTGTATACTACTATTCTTATTGTATATATTGTATATCGTATTCATCTGTTCCTCTGTCTCTCCTGCTGCTTTGAGCATGTGCATCACAAAAGAATTTCCCTCGGGATAAATAAAGTTATTCTTATTCTTATTCTTATTATTCTTAATCAAAACTAAACTGAAACTAAGTATTTTCAAAAAAATAAAAACTAACCTAGCAAACAAATGGTAAAAACTAATTAAAACTGATATAAAATTGAAACTCTGAAGTCAAAACTAAATAAAAACAAAAACTAATGAAAATTGCAAAACTATTAAAACCCTGGCAGTGACAGAAAAAAAGAACAAAAGGCAGCCAACATCCAAAGAAGACCTTTGAATGCTTAAAGAAATGACATGTATGAAATTTAGCTGATGTGCAAAAGCCAAAGGAAATTTTATTGCAGTCCATTCAGTATTAATTAGGATATTCAAACAACTTGTCCCTAAATAGACAGGACTGTCACAGGATCTCATCAAGAAGAGAAAATGGGGCTGGATAGGCCACACACTTCGAAAACCATTCGACAACGTCACAAGGCAAGCACCGGACTGGATCCCACAAGGAAAAAGGAAAGTGGGGAAACCCAATAAGACGTGGAGAAGTTCTGTCAAGAGCGACGTGAAGGCCGCCGGAATGACGTGGACACAGCTGAAGAGAACGGCCCAGAACAGAGTCCATTGGCGTGGTGTTGTTGCGGACCTATGCTCCACCAGGAGTCTACAGGAAAATTGATTTGTCACAGGATCTCCATTCATTAGGGTTTACCCTTGGATTTCTAAGTTGTAACGTAACATCTATCCAAATTCTAATCCTAAGCTATCAGAATATGCAATTTATTTCAAAAAAATAAAAATCTCGGGTTACAATGATGACATAGACCTCAACAGATTAATACTGATTTGAATATTAGTTATTATAATTGCAGTTCAATCCATCCCATAGACCAGGGCTGTGTTTTTCTTTTTTTTCACACTTTACATTGCCATCAATGAGGCTGATTTGGACCTGTTGGTGGGCCGGTTCAGGGATCTTTGACATCCCTGACACCAACAGTTGGCTCAAATCAAAATTGATTGAAGAACCATGAGGGGGTTCAGTCAGAAGACATTTATGGTAATCTATTCAGTGGTCATGGGGGAAAGTTTCATTGAGACCAAAACCAAATACAATGCATGGAAGAAATGATTCTAAAAGGACAATGCAAGCAGAAGTCAGTCATATTTGCTGAGCATACTGATTCATTTCATTTTTCCTAATCAATGAACACATTGCGTATTTTGGATCGAAAACTGGTGAAAATGCCAGCGCATTTATCCAAATGGGAAAAATGCCAATGTGTTTCTCCATGGCTGTACACCTGAGAATGTCAGTTATGAAATTTGATAGATTTTTTCTTCTCCCACCATATTTCATGGATTGCCTAGCATCACACACCTCCTACTCAGAAAAGCCAACATCTGGCTGGATTGGATGAGAACACAAACACATATTGTGCCTGTGGACTGTGCTGGCAGACACACATGCTCACACAATGATGGGCCTGGCATAGTGGGATGCTGAATTTTCAGAGTGAATTAGATGTTGGACCTGATAAGAAAGTGTTGTACTTTTGCAAATTAGGCTCCTGATATACAGTTTTTTCCCCTGTTGTTATTTTTATTATTACTTCCTGTGCTTTGATTAAGTTATGCAGACTGGATACATCTGTATAGTCAGAAACACAAGCCTTTCACCTTGACGCCTGGGTGCAAACTACAGGTGAGCCAGAGCTTTGCTCTTCTTAATATTGCATAAGCTAGTAAGATGATTTGTGGATTTTGTGTGTGTTCCCATGTGTGTACTGCAGTGGAGTTATTGAAACTGTAGTATTTCTTTTTGTTATACATCTGTAAATACACTGTCTCTCTGGCCCCAATTGAGCTGAAAGGCACACAGCAGTGGTGACTTTTCATTAATTTTCTCATTTTTATTATTCATAGACCCACTCAGTGCTGAATTTGCAGATTTTGAAACACATGCTTCAGTTCCAGTAGTTCAGGAGGAGGGGAGGGGAAAAAAGAATCAGATAAAGCCAAAACTGCTCCTGCTAAAACTGTCATCACGTCACATTATATATTTATATTTAATAGATTAAACAAGCCTTTTTTGCACATAGGAACAGTCTGAATATCAGGCTGTTCTTGTAATAATAATCATTAGTTGCTGTAAAACTCTTAAGTGCTGCGGACTGGGACCACCTACACACAAATTAGTGCAGTTCATAGTTTCCGAAATGACATGCTGTAAATCTGAAGATAGGACCCCGTCTCACAACAGGTCATGAAATAGTTCATGAACACAGATTGTTCTGGTTTTTATCATGTCAGCAAGTGAGCACGAGCATGTACGTAATGCAGCAGGAAGTATATCCCTGGTCAGAAGCGTGGATTTGGTGTACAGAAAGCAGCGAGAAGTCACCATGGAAACTGAGAAACATAGTTTGAAATAATGTGGCAACAACTGTATTTGAACCCAAATCAACATTTTACGCAGTAGGTTTTAATATTCAACCTTAACCCAGCTGTTTTTAATCTCTACATCTAAACAACAGACACATATTTTAAAAAAGCATGAAATGTTTTAAAAAAATCCTAGAAATGATCTGTGAGCATCTATGAGATTTTGACCCAAACTTGGGCCTGTGGTATGCAGGCCAACATAAACATGACTACCACCCCATCGTTTTGCCTTTGAATCAGTACATATCAGAGCAGACTGATGAAAAGTCATGTTTAGAGTCTCAAAATAATGTTGGGAATGTTGTTGTGAAAAACAGAAAAAAAGTAAATTATGGTCAGAAATATGAGTCAATGCAATAAACGTAATAACTACATTTCAGACAGCCAAGAGACCAGAAGATAAGGACACTTAACCCTTTAAGGGTAACCATAGAACCAACTGCGCCAGAGCTTATATTATATTTTTACATGCTGTAGTGCCATTTTTGGGAGCATTTCAAGTTGATATACATCAATACAACCATTATAGCCTAAATTTTAAT